CGGACGGCGGCGGAGAAGGGGCGGCCGAGCCCCCCCGGGAGTTACGCTGTAGCGACTGCATCGTGTGGAACCGGCAGCAGACGTGGTTGTGCGTGGTGCCTCTGTTCATCGGCTTCATCGGCCTTGGGCTCAGCCTCATGCTGCTTAAATGGATCGTGGTGGGCTCCGTCAAGGAGTACGTGCCCACGGACCTGGTGGACTCGAAGGGAATGGGCCAGGACCCCTTTTTCCTCTCCAAGCCCAGCTCTTTCCCCAAGGCTATGGAAACCACCACTACGACCACTTCCACCATGTCCCCCGCCACCCCCTCCGCCGGCGGCGCCGCCTCCTCCAGGACGCCTAACCGGATTAGCACCCGCTTTACCACCATCACGCGGGCTCCCACTCGCTTCCCTGGGCACCGGGTGCCCATCCGGGCTAGCCCGCGCTCTACCACGGCACGGAACACTGCGGTCCCCCCGACGGTCCTGTCCACCACGGCTCCTTTCTTCAGTAGCAGTACGCCAGGCTCCAGACCCCCGATGCCAGGAGCCCCTAGTACGCAGGCAATGCCTTCCTGGCCCACTGCGGCGTATGCTACCTCCTCCTACCTCCACGATTCCACTCCCTCCTGGACCCTGTCACCCTTTCAGGATGCTGCGGCCGCCTCTTCCTCCTCACCCTCTACCACCTCCTCCACTACCACCACCCCAGAAACTAGCACCAGCCCCAAATTTCGTAAGTAGAGTCCTTGTCTCAGCTGTGATTTACTGCCGAGTTTCTTTCTGCCTTCTGGCTCTCTTTTCTCCTGGTTGCCACTTCCCCAATACCCGGTTTGGGGCAGAGTGTGAGGCTATGGTTAAAAATGGCCTCAAGGGGGCCAAAGGTGTGGGTCTCTGCTGTGTCTGTGTGCGGAGTAGGGGCGTCAGGCAAGTGAAGGATATCTCCAGAGCTAGGGCTCCTACTTCAGTGGGTCCCAAATGAGAATAGACTCTTGACTCCCTTCAAAGGGTTAAGGCGAGTGCAAATCCTCCTCATTGCAGACTTGCGAGTGAGCCCAGGTTGTGTTCCCCATAGTGGCCTGGAGAGGGATGAGACTGTTCCTGGAGCACCCAGCCCTTCCCGCCCTCCTGTGGGAAGCTTTTCTAAGCACAGCCAAAACTGGCCTATGATAGCCCACAAAAGGAAGTTATGACCAGTGTGGGGGTGAAGATCGGATGCAGGTATTTGTTAGTGATGTCCTTAGGATGTAGCTGTGGACTCTCCCAGCATCCCTGCCGGGGCAGCGACTGGGAAGGGTTAATTAGAAGCCATTGGGAGAGGTAGGGAAATGAGGCGCTCCCAGATGGACCCCTCCCCTCAACCTGTCCCTGGCCATTGCCAGGTGTGGAAATTGCGTCTGAGGCCACTGGAGTGAGTTAACTGCAAGGAAATGCAATGGGAACGCTGCAGAGCTGCGGCCCCCAGGGTCCTGGAGAAGGAGGGTTTTTTCTTCCTTTTTTCAGCTGTGCCAAGCATTTGCTTTTGTTCCTTTCCCAGAGGGGTGAGGGGTGTAAACCTGGTCTCTTCCTCACGCCCTGTAGATGATGAACAGAGATGAACAGACTGGGACCCGGCTTAGTACAATGTCCAAGCTCTTTGTAACATGTCACCCTTTGGGTACAGCATTTCAGTCGGTGCCAGTAGCGGCCAGTGTACCCCCTAGACATGATCGCTTTCTCTTTAGAACTGTAAGCTTTCTATTTTTATGAACATTGCAGGTAACTAATTGACCTCCACCCCACCCTCTCCGCTTAGTGAACAGAAATCCCAGGAACCTTCTGTTTGTGCCTGAGGATTCGGATCAGAAAACACTTGTGCAACCTGTGAAGGTTATTCAGGACAACCCCCCAGTATGCCGGTTCAAGTTCCAAGTGAAGCCATTCTAAAAAAGAAAAAAAGAAAGAAAGGAAGAAAGATAGAAAGAGGGGAGAAAGAAAGAAAAGAAAAGAAACGGTCTGGATATGTTGGCTTTAGTATTCATGTTTTGAGCTGTAACATCTGGGCAAAAGAAAAAGTGTTCCTCACTGCTCAGTGTTGGTAGGAATATAATGGTTATTTTCAGTTGTGTTAATTTTTTATTTCCCTGACTCCTGATCTTACCTAGGGTGTTATTTAACATTTGTGACTTTTTTTTTTAATGTAGTGTACTTGTAAGTAAGGGCCAGAGATGGAGACTTTTGCTCTTACACTGCTTTAGAAAACTGCATCTATCCCTAGATGGTCAGTGGGAGACAGGAAGGCAAAGAGAAGGAAGCTTTCTGCCACAACCTAGAAAGGCAGTTCTTGCAGCTTCCCCCTGCTTTGCTTGAAGTGGTGATTTCTGAGAGCACATTTTCCAGAGGAGGGAGGGTGCTCTGGCTCCTTTCAACAAATCTAGCTTGAGTGTTGTAGCCGGATAAAGGACTGGTGGTGCTTGTGAGTACATTCACTGCACTAAAATAGGTTCCTCTCTGTATGTTGAAGACCTTAGAATTTTCATGTTCTGAAGCAGTTGATATGAACAATGGATTGTGACTCTACTTCACCTCCCCCCTCTTGGGGGGGGTGCTGTGGGGATCACAGTGGGGGCATTTCCCTGTCCTTTCTGTATTGATTTCCTACCTTCCATTCTGAGGCGGTCTTTAAAGAAGAGCCCAAGGTAATTATTTCTGCCCCTCCATGATCTTGTTCTACATTCAGCAGAAGAGAATGGATGGCAGCCTGTTTAATAAGTCATGATTATTGACAGGACTCTGAGCCTCAAGGAAAAGAGGTGGGGACTCTGTAAAGGGTCTTGGTGCTTGCATAGACATGTAAGCAGCGTTTGTTTCATTTGTAACTAGGGTCCAGCTCTTTCTATGTCTGAAATCCTTAAAAGAGGATTGAGTAAAGAGATAAAAATGCAAGCATGCAGATTTAGTAGTTAATGGCCTGGTGTAGCTTTCCTAAGAAGAGGCATTTTAATGAAAGGAATATGTGGTTTCCATACAAGGTGAGTTTAAATAGGTAGGCTGTATAGTAATTCAAAGGATGAACAGTTTATTTTTTCATCTAAGATTTTTGGCTGATTAACAAGGTGGGAAATATTTCATTTGTGGGATTATCAGCATTGCTATAGTAGGCTGAGTTATGGCCCAAGTAGCTGTCATTCAAATTGTTCACTTGTTTTGGTTATGGCATTAAAGTTCCCAGATGATAAATTTGTTTGTTCACATCACCTATCTCTATACTTTAGTAGGTTTGTTTTTCCCTTTGCTCCCCACCCCTACTGTTCAGAATGATCATCCTGGCTTCTTTTGTAGCACCTGAAGGCAGTTAAGGACGATGCCCTGTCTTTGTGAGACGAACTCACATATTCCTCAATGGCCAGGATCTTGGCTTTTTGAATAGAGCGTTTCAAGACTTAGAGGATGAATACATTTGTGTTCAACTTTGGCAATGTGATGGCTGCTATCTGTAAAATCATCATAGCTCTTTAAGTAGAAGCTTGTTTACTGAGAAAGATAATGAGTGTTCACTGGCCAAAGGATAACAGGACTTAAAAAAAAGATATCTTATTATTCACAGTATTTGCTATGTGAAAGGCTCATTTTTGATGTGGAATTGAGGGAAAAAATAAGACTGATCTTAAACAGCAAGTAAACAAAGAGAGTTTGGCATTTGATTCTTATTTTTCTGTCCTCATCCCTTTAACCTCAGGGGTCCCAAAATTCCCTGCAACTCTAGAACTTTTTATCTTTTCAGTGACACAGAGCAATTCTTTCCTTCAGACTCTTGAAAACAAATACCTTAAACACACTGCTACGGTAGAGTTTAATACAATACTTCTGAAAACATTTTGTAGCCATGGTATAAATTAATAAATTTCTTTGAGCCAAAAGAGACTATGCACTACTGATAGAGAGGAGTAGTTTTGTAAAATGTACAAACACTTTCCCTTTGATGGAAGTTGGAATTGTTTCTTCTGATTTCAAACGTGCCTATATTGTACTGTCAATGCAAACTGAGGTTGTTCTGGACTCTTGGAATTCCTTTACTTAGCAGAAAGCATCTTTAACAGGTGGGAGAAAGAAAGCCTGAGCCACTAGTGAAGTTCAAACCAAGTGCAGCTGTTAATGGTTCGTTCTTGCTGTCGTCTTTGAATGGTTCTATAGTGAATTCTCATGAATAAGATCACAAGTATTAAATAGTATACACGGGGAAAGAATTTGAAGATAAAATGTCCTATTGGTGTTTGAACAGGACATGTAGGTGGTTTTAATTTACTTACCTAGCTAAATAAAGTTCTACCAAATCATATTAATTGTGATTTTAAAGGAGCCATTGCTAATGTCAGTTGTTTGCTTATTTTTCTTCTCAGCCTCTTCAGTCTTGCAATGAGAGTGCTCAGTGACTTTATGAGCAGCCTCAGGTGGGACTGATTTAAAAAGTTAAGCCTATATCTTATGTTTTGGCTACAAGGGTCAAGGCTTTCAGCCGAATCCTAGCAGAGAAGGTACTGACCTCATAAATGCATGGTGACCAAAATGGGAGGACTCAGAACTCAAGATCAATGTTTCTTATGAAATAGAATTGAATTTATTTTTCATATGAGCTTGTGTTGCATTCTGAATATGTTTTTATTTTCTTTGTCATTATTGCAGGATTGTATGGCTTCTCTGCTTCTGTCTACTATACTGTGTTTTGTGACATGGCATACTTCATTTTGTGGTTCTAACCAGAAATAAAACAATAGCAATATCAGTGTGGGGATAGGCATAGCTTTTCCAGACTGCTTTGTGGGCTCTTTTGATTTCAGTCTTACTTCATTGAGAGCAAGTAGTTTAAGCATGCCTCCCTGGTTTTAGAGAACTGTGGTAAGGGGTTGGAAGTGATTTTGCTAGTGGAGAATGTCTTTAAGGCTTGATTTGCGAGTATAGCCACCTATTTTTTTTTTTTTTTTTTGTGTGTGTGTGTGTGTGCTGTCTCTTAAGTAGACTTCTAAAGCTACACACTGTTTACTTGCAAACTTGTGAGGAAGGAAATAAACCAAAATCAAAATCAACAGCAAGCAAGCTGGCTTGTGGCACTCTCTGTTACTAAAGAACTCAGGTTCTCTAAGATGACTGTGAACCACATCAGAAGTCCTGGTACAGATTTTAAATCAATGCTGTCCCCACAGAGCCACTGTGTGTGTGTGTGTGTGTGTGTGTGTGTGTGTGTGTGTGTGTGTGTGTGTGAAGAAGTTACCTTTCCATCTGGATTTTCCAACCCTACTTCTGGTTACACCACAATGAAACAAAAGATGGCTTATGACCTATTATAGAAATTCTTTTCTCAAATCTTCATATCTAAAGCCAAATCATAGCTCAATATTCTATCAGGGATGCTGAAATGAAAGATGAAAATTGGCCATGAAATATATAAAAGCAAAGGGTGAGACATAAATGTAATTCTTTAAAATGCATTTGAATCGCTTCTGTATAGAACTGAAATTCATTTCAATCTGGCTGTGTCTTCAGAGTTGCGTGTTGGGAAAGAACAGCACTGTGTTGCCTTGAAAAACAGTATTAGCCAGTTTTGAGCCCCTGGATATTCTACTCATCCTTACCTGGGAACATGCCCTGTAGACCCCTGCACCCAAGTAAAAGCAAAGAGGAAGGACCCAATCTGCACAGGGCTCATCAATGGTTGATAGCAGGTCTGCATAGGCTTTCCTTACTCACCTAACTGTCAAT